TTCCCCTCGCGCCGTCTCCTTGCCAACCCGGCGTTCGCGTGTTTGTTTTCACGTCCAAAAGGAACGATACAAAGGGGGAAAACGAGTCTGACGAGCAGACAAAAGAGAGAGAAGGGCCGGGGAACAAAGTTGTCTGTTGTCCTCAAAGGTTACGAGGAGCCGACGGAGAAAGAAAATATTTGGGCAATCTGTGCAAAAGCACGGCCTCTCCCAGGAGTTATGTAATTTTTCAGAGTGTTGCCTCTCTGCCTTGATTTCGGGCCATCGGCGTAATTCCCACAACTTCTTCAAACTGCACAATTAGGCGAGTTGAAGTGAAGGTTGGCCGCAGTTGAGGAGCCCTGTTCCCTGTGCACGGCAGGCTCTCGGTAAATGCCTGTGACTGACTACACCTGCCCCAAAGATCATGTTAATTAACTACTTTTTAAGGCACCTTATGTATATATGTAGGCTTATCAGTGAAAACTCAAAGTATTCCCCAAAGGAGCGTCTTTCTCACAATACACTTGTCTGTCCTCTCGCTGAAAGGAAAGTCCCCGAGTCTGAAGAGTGGTGTGTTACGCCCCAAACAACTTGCACATGGAGATTGGACTATCGGTGCCATAAATAATGACAGCTAAGGTCTATCTCATACCTTCATAAATCTATATGACACCTTTCACCATATTTCAGAGGTTAATATCCACAATTAACCCTCTTGATATGAGTTCCTTTCCAAGGAATTTGAAACAAAACTAAAACATGTTATCTTTAATAAACTTAAGATTAATAATATAAATCGATCCTGTCTAATCCTAGAGTAGAAATGTTTCATGCTTTCTTCTTTAAACAGTACTATTGTTTTACCACTGTACAATGTTTTAAGTGTGTTTATTACTAATTTATTACCAAGTTACACCTTGAATATCTTCAGAAGGCCTTCTTAACCTAAGCAATGGCTCCCTTGTACTAGTGTGGACTGTTTTCATGGATAGAAAGCATTGGAAACCAGAGCTTTCAGGAGGTCGCACTAGCTGAAATAATATATATGATTTTGGTAGAATGGTAGTTTTCTAAAATGATTTCATTCTCCAGCTTTTCGTAAAGACTCAGTTTATTTCAAGTGCAGTGGTTTTGTTTGCTTGACCAAGTGTAAATGTTACATGACAAAATAGAAAAGGGTAGATGGGGAAACCGGTGACTGACTGGGGGAGGGGAATCAGGTGCATACCCAAGGGTCACACACCAAATTGCAGTCCCGCACAAACAACTGGAAAACTGGGCTGTAGGGTCCCTGAGTAAGAGAGAACAACACCTGCAAGGTGAAGTCGCGCCAAATCATTCATCGGTTTTTACCGAGAGAATACTACATCTTTGTTAGTGTGACTTTTTGATATTTTTCTTCTGGATTTTCTCCCTTTATATATTCAAATACAGTTCATACTAATTATATGCATTATATCGCATAAGTTGAACTTTTAAAAGTTTTTTTCATATGCAAATATAAATATATGTGTTTTGTGTATGTGCGTATATGCATATATTCTAAAATCAATTACTATTTATACCTTTAGACATTTATAGTCAACTAAATATATACATACAATCATAAATACATTTTTTTCAAACTGATAAAATATATCAAAGTCAATTCATACAAGGGTAGCCATATTTCTAGCTTTTTTTATAACTAATTCTAAAAGAGAAAATGAGCCACCAAGTTCAGCTCTGGCCCATTTGTTTAAAATATTATTTCATATAGAAAAATCATGAAACTTAAAAAAAAGGGGGGCATGTAAGTCTAAATCTCTTTTCATTCCATTTGCTTCAGCAAGTCATCTAGAAGATTGGAACCAAGAGTCTGTGAAACAGGCCCCCAGCACAATGAAATCAGTCTGCTATAAAAGGCGACACATGCCAGTTTCTCCTCCCCAATGGCAGATGCCACACCCTAAAGCAGACAGAAGGCACTGCAGTCTGCAAGGGAAGCACAACACAAAGCCGGCAGGACTTGGTTTTGTCTTTAAACACAGGGAATGCTAAAATACCTTTTTTAAAGCATCCTGAAGATAAGTAGTGGGCTTCTACTTATTCAACTCACACTTTTCAAACACATCTCGGAAAACAAAACTAAGGCCTCATAGTTTCATTTAAAAATCTAGGACTTAATAGACAAAACGGCAATTGTCAGGGGTCTGTCAGAAAGGGGTGAAATAGGTTCACATTTCACAAAAGCACAACTTAAAACTATAGATTATAATTTCTACTGTCACTTGCTTCCATTATCCAATGGCAATTCTACATTGTTTTCTTTTTTGATTAAAAGGCAGTAGAAATTACCACACTC